GCGTGAGAAGGCAGCAGGAGTCGACAACATCACACGAGTCCAGTTACAGGTTGAATTTAAAGAACTTCTACATCCAATCACAACATGTCTGTTCAGAAAAAAAATCTGATAATGCACAAACCAATTAGGCAAATCCCAAAAATAAAAGTCTGCTCCAGAGGCCGAATGCGGTGGATCTAAAAGAGAGACCAAACACTACAAACTATCACTGCTGAGTGCTGATGCCGACTTTCTGCAGCTTAATATTCTGGTTTACTGTGCAGGTGATTCTGATTTACTGTTTGAGGCATTTCCATGTCACCAAGCTCAGAATGTGGAGTTTTGAGCAATAATAAAAAAAAAAGGGAATACTCATGTTCAAAATGATATGCATCATATGGGACATCATTATGCTTCATGATCACCTACCAGCTACTAATTAGTGAAACACAGGATCACACAAGAGAGAAAGAATTTACATTTACAGTCAAAACCAGAAGAATTTACCGGTTGGTACGACATGTTATTGATTACGCTGATGCTGTCTATATACATATATCTATTTATATTAATATTGCATCTAATTCTCTCTGATCATTTGTTTTCAGGTGTGTGTGTAGAAGTCATTGTTTTTTTCTTTACAAATTGTTTAATTGGCTGCAGCCTTAACGTGTTTCCTTGAAGTGTCCGTCCTATCTGAACACGTCTCTGGTCTTAGATCTTCACATCCACTCAGACATACACGATCATCAGAAATGAGGCTTTAGGAATAATCTTGACCTGTTTCTGAGATCTGTTACCTGTTTCTGCTGCTTATTGTTTCAACCTGTCTATGCTGCAGCTTTTATTATATATAATATATATGAGCTCGTAGCTTCTTCTTCAGCTGGAGTCGAGGCCGTCGGTATCGGTGGCGTGTTTTCAGGACTCCTTTAAAAATAAGATGCAGCCTCTCCAGGGTCTGAATCAATTCAAAGTAACGCATAAATGAAAAAAAGGCAGCATTCATTCAGTCAAAGCCACTGGAGACAAAAATCTATCCCCACAGCGAACACCGGGGGGCGCTCTGTAGTCACAGAGCAGCTGATTAAGACGCTGGAGACGGAAAACAATTGGATGAAACAACAACAGACGCAGTCAGTGAACACATTGAGGTTATTCTGTCTGTCGGCCGCTCATGTAAGACCGACGCCTCCACAAACAGCCGGCGTGCTCGCTGCGCTCGGCTGCCCGTCTTTACAATTATTTGCCCCATTTCAGTTGTCTTCCAGCGCCCCGGTGGGAACGTGACCTCTGCAGACGTTTCAGCGGCAAGGTTGAGTTTCCCGCCGAGTCACGGGACGTTAAACACGACTAATTTGCAGCAGAACAATAAATCCACGGACGTGTAAAGATGTGAAGATGACATCATGTAAATGTCATCTTACTCATTATGTTGTTTTACACTTTTAAATCACGTCGACAATTACGCTGTGGGTGATCATTAGTGCCATTCAAGTCTCAGTGCCAGTCAGAGCGGCTCCGGCGCTCTGGCACCTGTTTGATTTCATTCAGTTTAAACCAGTCGAGCATCCACCCAGCACTCACAGCTGCTTTTCATTCCAGCTTCCAGTCTCTCCGCGGCGCTTCACGGATACGATTTGCCAGAATGACCCCTTGAACCTTTTTCATGTGCGGAAAAATGCCCTTCCAAAATCAGCCGCGCATTGCCCAGATCTGGAAACGCGTTGGCAGCTCTCGGCTTTGGAGAAGGGTGATTAAAATCTAATGGGGCTCCTGATGTGACAGCAAACAGAGGCAGGATATCTCCATCTTTAAAAGAGACGTATCATTAATTTGCGGCCTGGAGTAAGATTCTCATAGCGGCGCACAATGAGGGCTCCCCGGAAAAAAGAATCCGCTGTCGGGCTAAAAATGACTTTGAGAAGAGCCCAATGTCAGGATCACATTGTGGAGGCCTCCGTCTGATGACAGCACGGCCGGCTCTTCACCAGTAATAATGGCAGCGCATCAAAAAGCCAGTCTTCCCTTTGTCTCCCCTCATATTCAGACTCGTCTCAACCTGCCATTCACAGTTTGTTTCTGACAAGCACTGATTAAGTCGTTCAGCTGAGTTTCTTAGAGAGATTACAGGATTTCTAAATAACTTGGCGACACAGAGCCATCGTTTTACACTTTTTCACATTGCTCTCACACTCTTAATTAATTACTTGCTTTCTCATGAATTAATTAAAGAAATATTAATTGTCAGGCTCATATTGGTCCTTTGGGGGGCGACTCTGCACGACAGCAAGCATGATCATCCCAAGCAGAATAAACTCTCTGTACATTTATTTCACATTTCTGATAAACTGAAATGTTTAATATGCAAATGAAACCTCAACAGACAAACCTGGTTAGGAAATATATTCTCTTATATCATTTTGGTCCTTGTGATCTACCTTTGGCACGACCTGGACCTCTTTAATGGGCACCAGAATCCCTCCATGCAGGAGAAACGCTGTGCAGATGTTGCAGACTGACAAAACCAGGATTTCCAGTAAAGCTAGCAGCACCTGAGTCAGGCTGCTTCCAGCTAAATGCTAATATATTCATGTTTAGTAGGTAAACAGTAACTCTCAGCAGGGTTTAACATTTACTCATTAGCACAAAACAAGGATGTTCAATGTCATTAGTGGGGCGAGTGTTTCCTTACTTTCTGCACGTTGCTATCTTGGTCTGCTTCTACTGCACGGCTCTTATGAAAGAGGGACGAGGTCATCACGACCAGATGACGGCACAAGATGAAAACTCAACAGAGCTATTAGGATTCATTTGCTGCCGATCATGAAGCGCTGCACAACATTTCGCTGCAGTCCGTCCAGCAGCTGTTCAGAGGTTTCGGGGCAGAGCTGTGGTGCATCAGACCGACAGACAGGCAGCAGAAAACAACAGCAGCTGTGTGCTGCTGCGTAAACGCCACTCTTTCTTCATAACCGCCTCGACATCCTTGAGAAACAGATGCTGAGGCCTGGTGAAGGAGTCGCCGCTGCAAAAGATCCTCATCCAGCATCGATTCAGAACCAGTGACCAGACACCTGGAGGAATCCCCCCCACAGAGCCCAGAACCTGCCTCCCTCCTGCCCTCAGTCCTGAATAACCAAAGACAGGATGCGGTCTACGGGTTGAATGATGTGTTTTGTTGTTTTCAGGGCTGATCCCTGTAGATAGAATCAAGGAAACCAAGAGCTGCTATTTAGGATGTTTCTAGATGACACAAACTGCAGCACAAACCTTTGGTAAAATGTCCTTGTTGTTGTTTTCATGTGTTTAATTAAAAGACGGCGTTTCAACAGTTGTCCTTCAGTGTCTATCGGCTGAAGTCCAGATAAGTGCTATGGATGGACCCTGCTCAGGGAGTGGTGGCTACAGACAGACGGAGGCAGCAGAACCTAGAAATACATTAAATTATGGTTTAAAAAAAAAACAACAAGCTTGATACCTGAAAAATACTGACTGAGTCAGCTGGGATAGACTCCGCCCCCCATGACCCTGGTGAGGATTAAGGAGTAATAATAATAATAATAATAATAACTTTATTTATAGAGCACTTTTCATACAGAAATGTAGCACAAAGTGCTTTCCAGTAGAGATGATGGATGGATGGATGGATGAATGGAGGTAACTTTTACTGATTTCCCTTCATTCATTCATTCATTCATTCATCATTCATTCCACCCGTCTGGATCCAGTCCAGCCCAATGCGCCTCCTTCTCAACACAAAGGTCAGTGTGTCACATAAAACATGAGTCTCTGTAGTAACATGTTCTTCCTTCTGCCCATGACCTGCAGCAGCTTTATGTTTTGTCCATGTGGGGGCAGCACAAACAAGCTTTGAACACACCACTGACACTGAGGTGGATATGAGCAAACTGTTTAACAGTTAGCACACATTTAAAGTCCCACTCAGTGGAAAATATTCTCTTTGTCTCAACTCTGTTTCAACTTCCACCAAACTCCTGAGGGAAATATGCGCTGCAGCGTTTTCACCAGCATCTGGTGGTGAGAAGGTACCATGCAGTGGCTTCATCAGTGACATGAGAGCAGTGAGAGTGAACCAGTTATCCAGATCACATGACCACGCTGTCTAAAGAAAACAGATATTAAATTACTTAAAACTAGGGGAGAAAAACATCTTCATTTACTGTACCCATCCATAAATGTTAAGATTTTCAGAGTTGAATGAAACTTCTGCCCTCAACGAGACGTGTTTACCCACAGCGAGGATGCTCTGCACCAACTAGAACCTACGTTGTTGTTGTTGTTGTTGTTGTTGTTGTTGTGGTGGTGGTGGGCTGGAAATCACAGTTTATGTATCAGCTGTTCCTCCAGAGCGGTGGTCCCTCATACAAACCGGCTTAAATAATGAATACGGAGCTATAGGGGGTCCTGACCCGGACGTATTAAATATGCATAACCACTACAGAGGCGAGGAGGCGAAGTGCTGAGGATCACACACTCGCATGCATATTCAACGAGCCCCTCGCTTTAGTTATTTATTTGTTTATTTAGCCAAACTTATCAAACTCCTGCTGAACGTATGCGAGTATCGACTATGTGGCACAGCTGCTTTCTTTCTACTTCTCCCTCTCAAACTAACTATTGATTGCTATTTCTGTCCGCCCACCTTTCTTAAGTCCTTTCCTCCCTAAACAACGCCCACCCACTCTTCCTCCCTCGCCTCCCTAACTCTGGTATTTCCCAGTGAAGCCCCCTTTCCCCCCCCTCCACCTCCCCCTCTATCATCTCCTCCTCCTCCTCCTCCTCCTCCTCCCTCTTCCTCTCTCTCCCCCCGTCCTCTCCTCAGATGGATTCTTCAGTCAGTCGTGTGGAACTGGTGCGGCTGCCGGAGAGCCAGACTCTGAGGCAGGAGGCTGTTGTGAGCAGACGCTGGGTCAGAGCGCTCAGTAGCTTCAGACAATCACAGGGGAGCGAGAGGAAGGCTCAGAGAGAGAGCAGCACACAGAGAGATAAGCTGAAAACAGAGGGAGAGACAGGGGAGGGAGGTGAATATGTGACAGGATGTGGTTTCCCTGAGCTTGCAGAACACTGGTATACAGGCATACTTTGAGCATGACCTAAACACACCGAGCGTACAAGTGTGTTTGAGCTCCGTGAGGTGGTGAGGGGGGAAGACGAAGCAGAACCGCTGGAGCTGCTGCTGCTGCTGCTGCTGAGCCGACAGACGCTCTGGTTTCTCTGCTGCCCGCCCGCCTGCCTGTCGGAGGATTGTGTTTCCTTTAAGCCAGCCAGCTCCACGGCAGCCTCGGCCAGCTTGTCGGACAGGATCTGAACCCGTCCTCCATCCTCTCGCTGTGATTTCCTCCCTCAGAGTAGAATGCGATTCTCTGCTGGAAGCTCCGGTCCGGTTGCTGTGTCCGAGCAGTGAACTTTTCCACCAGATTGTCGAACAGGTAAGTTTGCTTCCTGCTACCAGCGTGTGAATGAATGTGAACTTCCAAACAGATGTGCTGCTGTACTCGCGCCTGCTCCCCTTGGACGTCGGCCACCGTAAACTTGGACCGCGCGGCGGCGATTGTTGCTGTTGATTTATTAGACACGAGTTTGGCGTTTGAGCTGTGAATCCACCGCTACCACACGCATGTTCGCTCATTCACACGGCTCACGCACACGCCGGGCGTTGATGATGCACATCAGCAGGGTTCTGACGTCCACCTGGACCCGGCCACAGAGCTGACAGGACGGACAGCCGAGCTGCTGTACGTACGGAGGGCTGGAAGTCTGGGCTTCCCCGCGTGATGCTCTGTGCGGCGTGCGCGCTGCTGCATCCGTGTCTGTCTGTACATGTGGATGTTTACACGCCTAGACTATGTGCTCACGAGTTCATCCAAGCATGCGTGCATGTGTGAGAGGAGGAGGAGGCTGAGAGGGGAAAAACAAGCTGAGGGATGGCAGGAGGTGAAGGAAGGGCGGCGGTGAGGAGAGGGGGTGAAGGAAGACCAGGGCATGAGAGAAAGGAAAAGCCGGGAGGGGAGGGGGAGAAACATGTGTGTGTGTGTGTGTGTGTGTGTGTGTGTGTGTGTGTGTGTGCAGGGGAGAGAGAGAGAGAAAGTGAATGAGAGAGCTCAATCTCACTGAACTGCTGTTAATTAGTTCCAGCTGGTGAGTTGTGGAGCGTCGGGCTGCGTTAACTCTACAGCGTCGGCGGGTCAGGAGTTCTGTCTCAGTGTGTCTGAGTGACGCACACACACACACACACACACACACACACACACACACACACACACACACACACACACACACACACACACACACACACACTACTGTAGTGAGCTCCCTCCACACCAGTGTTTCCATGATGATGTACTTTTATGCACATTTTGAAGTATTGCATTAGAAAAAGTTTAAAAACAAAAAACCAGTCCCTAGTCTTTGTGCCTGATCGATGAGTTTTTGTTTTTTATTAATCACAGGAGATGAAGCACCATTTTCAAATAACTGCTGATCAATCAACTCTGTTTTCAGCCTCTTTCATCGTCTTCGCCTCCAAAAAGCCGACATGAAAGAATAACTCGGTCTGTGATTGAAAACGATCCCTGAAGACGTGTTTTTCTCTCATCGATGGCCAAAGTTTAGTTTGATTGTTCTTCTTCAGGTTTTGTGTCTGGCTTCTTCTTCTACTCTGGATATTAGCGCCATGCAGAGCGTCGTCTACACTGCCACCTTCTGGCAACACGCTAAGTTCATTCACTTCAAAGCAGATTATGAAAATTCACATTTTCTTTTTTCCCATTTCTGACATTTTAAAAACTTAGAAGATACTGTATATTGACATTTCCGAACCCATACACCTTAACCACTAACACTAAAGCCGAACTTAATCCTAACCTAAACCCAAAATCTTAATCCCCAAACGAAGACCGATAAAGAAGCGTCTCTATCGTCCTCAAAGCACCAAAATGTCCTCACTGTGAAGGTTTCAAAGTAAAATTCGAAGCATAGAAACACAGAAATACACTCACACGAGAACGTTTGTAAAAGAATTAGTCAAAGGACGACAACATTGTTCAGAAGAAGCCACTTGGATGAAACGGCTTCAAGGAACAAAAAGACAAGTGTGGTGGCTTTTTCTCTTATGGTTACTATGAACTAGTTCAGTGGTAGTTAAATGTAGTTAAACTGGTAAAACCGCTGCTTGTATCAACACCACTGTCCAACACCGACTTCACAAAATATACCAGTCGCACACAAACCCACATATACACACACACAAACACACACAAACCCACACAAACACACACAAACCCACACATGCCCACATGTCAAGTGTGAACATCAGAGGCTAAATGAGCTGTGGATGTATACATAACGTGCAACGAACACATGGAGCACCGCACATGTGAGCGAGCTCACGAGCTGCACCGTATACATGACATGAGCACATAAACACAGGCGCACACATGCATTGTTAACACACACACACACACACACACACACACACACACACACACACACACACACACAGCTCCATATGGACTCGTACGCCGGCCACTCTGCTCGGCGGCTGTTGGAAATGTGGAAGCGATTGTGGTTCGGGTTATGATGTCACATTGAAAATGGAGCATTACTCTGAAACGAGTGTTTCCTTAAAGGGTTAATTCACCCAAACTGCACGACAACATGTGCGCTCGCCGACTAGCAGAGATCTGTAACTGTGCGGATACGTTTGGTTTAGATTGTCCCGATTTGGAGACTCGTGCCTCCTGTTGGTTGTACATCATGCTTGATTGATTTCTAGTGATTAAAAAGAATTTATTGATGCTTTATAAATCAACTGCACATATATGCCATTAATAAGTACGGCGTGTGGGTTGCCAGGTTGGCCGGTGTTTACCCTCTTGCGTGACATTTGCTGTGTCGTTGGTGGACGTCTTGATTCCATTCTCACATGTGTAAAGGTGAACACACCTTTACCTGCTCATGCTTTTATATCATTACGTGTAAAAATGCGTTCGTCTGAATTTAATATCAGGCTAAACTAAACACCTGATTATCTTCCAACATTACGGGGTCGTAATGGGACCAGACTCCCTCTTTCTGTCCTCCTGAGCTCCAGTGCAACGATGCTAACTGGACAACACTGACCAGTGCAGCTTCTTGGCCAGTGTGGACAAGACGAATGCTTACAGCGATCAATGACTCCTTCAGTGTAAACGACACGTGTAATCTGAGTAGCGTGTACAGGTTCTTGTCCTTTAATAATCGAGACCTGACGGATTGTTGTAAAAAAGAAGAAGAAGACGAAGAAGACGAAGAAGGAGAAAAAGGCTTCCACTAATGATTTAGTAACATTTAGAATTGCAAATGTCTCCCTAACCTTTGGTGACAGCTTATTAGAAGGTGTCTAACGACTCTTCATTAATGACTTTATCAACATTTGTTCTGCAGAATTGATGTTTTTTTTTTAAAAGTCAGATTCATTAACCTTTATTGATAATTTACTAACATTTATAACTGCAGATTTATGACCTTTATTAATGATTTAATATCATTACCCAAGGATATCTCAAACCTTCCATAATGAAAAAAACCTGAGGGCTAAATACCACTGGAGGTAAGAGGAAATATGTGGCGAGTCCTTTAAATCAGCCAAACACTGGATTCCTAAACGCTCATCACCGACACATGTAAGCTGCCTGTTACAGCACACAGACAGATTTTTCTTTCTCTCAGCCGTCAGTTTGTGTATTTTCTGAAGCTGAGCTGATTTTCTTTTAGCAAACATGTATTTTAATCAACTTATGTTTGCTATCTGATCCGAGCACACACAGAATCCCCCCGTGGGGCGTGAAATTTCATTAAGGTAATTGCCGCTGGTTGGTTTGAAGCGTAATGCGTCCTCGTCTCCGCTCAGTATGTATAGACAAACACCCACAGACTGACACAACAAAACACCAGAACAGTTCTACTCAGAAATCCAGTAAGTGGGGCTGGTCTAATTGAAAGCCAGTTATGTTTAAACCAAGCTAATTTCATTCCACTGTGGTTTCATGTGCTTGATGCCAGAGAGAAACTCAAACAATTAGATTCAGTGCATTGTGAAGTACAGTCCATAGATGATCGGATCCTTAACAATCCTAAACCTGCTATCCGACAGGTTTTTAGGAACAGAACCCATAAAAACAGCCTTAACATAGCGACAGCCTTGGATTGTGACTCCGACATGACATTTAATGTCACCAATCAGGATGACGGCGTATTATCTGACTGAACAATCCCACAGATTGGCTACGTTCACACTGCAGGACTTGATGCTCAATGAGGATTTCTTTGTGACTTCCTTCACGTTTCCACTTCAATGCGACTTGTATGTGATCTGCTGTGTGAACTTCATACGACCCAAAAGTGTCCCGCATGCGCAGAAGAGGACACGACGACGTCACACGCAGCGAGCGTGCTCAGTGTTTATGGAAGTAAACATGGATGGTAACGGTGGAGCGTATCTGCCACTCCCCCGCCGCCACCGATGGAGGAAACAGAAGTGTGAGCGCTAACTAAACTAGCATCAGCAGCCAAGTACTGCCTGTGTGTTCTGGACACTTCCACCCTGTCAGAGCGCTGCCCCGGGGTGGAAGTGTCCCCCGACCGCACAGAATGTTCTGATATTCATCATTAACTGGGCCTGAACATCCAGAGAGCAGAAAGTTCTACTGGGACCAGCCCTACTAGTTATTATAACAACTATGAACAATAATGAACAACTAATGAGCCTTCCAGCATCAAGCCCTCCTCGTATCTGGACCTCCGTCTGGACAATCCCACAGCCTTGATATCCGACATAGAAGAAGGTTTTATGTTTAGTGTCGGGTCATCGAGTCATGACTGTACATGTTCGGGATGTGATCCCAGAGAAAGATGCTGGAAGGTGATTTCTAGCCTAAAAACACAAGAATTAGATAATGACAGAAGTATCCATCCTTTAAAGGTACTCAGTACTTTATTCTAAGTGTTTTAATATTTTGGCACGTTTTGGACACATAAGCATGTAATCTATTGAACATAAATCAGAATTAGCAGGACTGTAATGTGACCTTTATGTGGTGAACATGGCTGGAGGATGTGCTGGTAGATAAGCCGTCCTCATGACAGGGTGTCATCTTGATTGCAGGCCCAGCTGGAAGTCTCTCATCTTTTCTCTCTGAAATGTTTGGTTACAAGATTTTGGGCGAAGATTATTTTCCCTCACTGCACTGCAAGGTGACAGTGATCATGCTTTTGAAGGTACAAAGTTATTCAAGCCTCTGGCTTCGCCTCAGACCTGAGACGGCATATTAGGATGAACCCTCCAGGCGAGACGGGAAACACAAAAGCCAATATTCAGCCGGTTGTCGTAGCTCAGACTCAAAGCAAAGAAGACGAAAAACAACACCCCCCTCTCTGGATATTTCTATAA